TTGAGAAAAACTTTTTAATTCAAGAGTTACAATAAAATATATAGCAATCGCACTATTTTTTATAATTTTTCTTATATATTACATAAACATGTGTCATCGTTTATAGGTTAGAACGTCCAAAATATTTTCCTTACATTAAAGTACTTTTAAATTATAAATGGTAATTATTCATAATTATTTTAAAGAATGTTTAAAAATTAACAAAGCAAAACCACTGCAGAATTATTTAATTAAAAAACTTCAAACACTGATTGTTCTAATATAAGTAAATGTGATTACAAGTTACATGATTTACATGTAATAAATATCTTTTAGGTACAAAAAAGAACTCTTTTAATAAAAATAGATTACTTCAAAATTAAATTGATCTTAGTAATGATTCTTTCAGTAAATTTATCATCAAATATTAAATTAAAATAGTTAATACTTAATACAAACTAAGGCACAAGAGGGCGAGGGATATAAAAGGCTTTACACGCGGTTCTAGTATAGTACGAATACAGTAACCGTACGATAAACTAAATTACAAAAACCTTTAGTACACCATACTATTATCGTACTCGTATTATACGAGTATAGCATACTGGTATGACATACTAGTACAGTACCTGTTACCGTGCGAAGGTAGATGGCGAGTACAGTACCAGTACGACTTATACGCCGTACTTGTATTGTACATGCATCGTACTAGTACGCTGGTTATCTGGGAATTTATGAAAATCCTTATTATTCTCAAATTTTTGTGTTTAAAATTAAAAATATACATATTAAAAGTGCAAGTTGGAAATTATTGAATTAATTAATAGAAAATTAATCTTTCTGAAATATTAAATAATAATTGTGAGGTATTAAAAAGCGAAAAGGAAATAAGCAAGTAAGCAAATAAAGAATAAAGTAAGCAAGAAGGAAATAAGCAAGTAAGAAAGTAAGCAAATAAGAAAGTAAGTAATCAAGAAGGAAATAAGCAAGTAAGCAAAGTAAGCAAGAAGGAAATAAGAAAGTAAGCAAGTAAGCATATAAGGAAGTAAGTAAGCAGAAATGAAACAAGCAAGTAAGCAAGAAGGAAATTAGGAAGTAAGCAAATAAGTAGGTAAGCAAGTAAGCAAAGTAAGCAAGAAAGAAATAAGCAAGTAAGTATGCAAATAAGAAAGTAAGCTAGTGAGCAAGCAAGTTATTTCCTTTTTGCTTACTTGCTTACCTACTTATTTACTTACTTACATACTTACTTATATGTTTAATTGCTTACTTATTTATTTCCTTTTTGCTTACTTACTTATGTTTACTTGCTTACTTACTTACTATTATTCATATTTTATTAAAATGAATAAATTATATGTTAAAAAAAATAATAATTGAATTTTAATTGAATTTTAATTTAAATAATAATAAAATGATTATTAATTAAGTCTAAATAAGTTGGAAAAATCAACTATTAGTGTGAAAGTCTTTCATTTGACTGCGGGACACTTCAAATAAAGTATTTCAATCCAGAAAACTAAAACTTTAGGCAAGTCAAGGAAGTTTTACCGAACTATTCCTGAAAACTAACACTTTAAGCAAGTCAAGAAAGTTTTACCGAACTATTCCTGAAACGTTAGTGCCCATCAAGGAGGTATTTATTTAATTCACATTAAACGTTCAGTTTCAATTTTTTTTCAACTTTTACAGTACTAGTTCTTAAGGAATAAAGATATCACATTAGATTTTAAATATTGTTACCGAAAAAATAATATAAAAATTATTAAAAATTACGATTATGCTACTATATCCCAAGTTTATTGAAAAATTCGGTAAAATGTAAGGAACAAATTTTCTCCGTGCATAAATATAAGAATTACAATTTTACCAATTGTTTAAACAATTTGTTATTGTTAAAATTGAAACCAAAATAATGAGTTAGGGGAGAGTGGGGCAAAATGGGGTACCTTTTTGAAGTAGGATTCTTTATTACTATGAAAAAACAAGTAATATTTATTAGAATTTAACAAAAAAACATCGATATTGCAAAATATCGATATATCGATAGTGAAACATCGATGGTATAAATGTCTCCAAACAAAAATATTGATTCTTCTGCAAGAAACCTTTAAATATACATTATATAATGTTTTTAAATAGTTTTAATGAAACGGCGTAGCTTTCGGCATGCCCCACACTTAGGTACCCCATTCTGCCCCTCACTGCATATTAAAACAAAATGCAATGTTTCTAAGTTATTGTAAATAATTTAACAATCTATTCTATTGGAAATTACTCTAGAATAAGTACTGAAAAAGATCCCACACTTGCCAAATTAAATGCATTATCCCAAAAAGTTTTGAAAGCACTTTAATTTCGATAAACATTCATATTTTTTTTTTGCTTAAAACTTAAAAGTTGTATAACTTTCAAAAAAAAATTTTTTTTTAGTGTCTTCATAATTAATAACAGTTTCTTATCAACATGAATGATATATGTCGAGGATAAAAGAATTAAAAGTACCTATCATGGAAAAACAGAGGTACCCCATTTTGCCCCACTCTCCCCTATTTGAAACAATTAATTTATTTATTTCATTCAAATAAATGGATGTTAGATATAAATACAAATTATTTGTCTCAATTAATTTTAGGTAATTTTATTTATTAATATTTTATTTAACAATATAAAAATCTATTATATGAATAATAAATATGTGTAAAATATATATTAAATATAATAAATTTAGCACCTAAGATTCATATTATATTAAAATAATTTTATAAAAATATTAAGAATATTGCAATTTATATAGACATATCGAATACTATTTTCCAAATCGGTTCGGTTGTCGATGTCGTTAAGGCACTTCGGTTATATAGGTCTTAGGTTAGGTAGTTGCGCCTGGGTTTCGATCCCGGTAGGTTTCAGATTTTAATTTAATTATAAAAATTTATTTGACGCAATTAAAAGGATATTAGTCTCAATTGAAATAATTAATTATGATAAATAATTGAATATTTTATACAAATAAATATTTAGCTACTTCAAAAAAATTATTTTATTGATGTAAATAAATATTTATTTGAATTAAAAACCATGCATTATTGAATCAAGTATTTTTCATAATTCATTTAAAGCAATATTTATTAGATCCAATTATTCCATTTATTTGACTTAAGTAATTCATATTTGAACCAAATAAATATTTTTTCATAACGCAATCATAAAAATGGCGTTATTTGTCTCTCCGTAGGCCAATGTAAAGTTATTCTTTTTAGTACGTAGTTACGAAAATACTGCGAATGACAGTTCAGTTCAAAAAAGAGCTTTGTTTGTGCTTGTTCGAGTATTTTTGTAACGCTCGAGTAGTTGCAATTCCGTCCAGAAGAGGCGTGATTATGTTTTCGTTCAGTTAACTACATTTACCGTGTCTAGCAGCAACACAGTATCTGTCAAATACTGAGAGTTTCTAACCTCCTTTTCGTGATCACTCGTGTGAAAAATTCTGTTTTTATTCTTTAATGATATTATTTTTATTAATACGTCGAAGTACACGACTAGGTTTCGGGGGGCTTCGCCCCCCGACGCGTCCGGTGGCTTGGGGTATTATAAAATGCGATTCTTTGAAATGTCGAATATTATTATTATTCTTTTGAGTTGGTTTTTTTTGTAGTCGGGGGGCTTCGCCCCCCGAACCCCCTGACCGGGACTCCGCCCCTGGACCCCGTCGGGGGGAGACCCCCCGAACCCCTCCGCGCGATCAGCTAGTAAGTACGCTTGACAGTGGTTCTGTGTTCCGAATCTTATGTATGCGTTTCTCAACATTCTTTTCAGTTATATATGTTTTTCAGTGTCAACGCCTTTTTATGATTTTGTTATGAAAAGTATCGTGCGCAACACGTGTGGCGGCATTTTGGAACGAGCGCTAAGTTTTCGTAACGAGTCGTAGGTGAGGGCGCCGAAGGCGCCCTCACCTACGACTCGTTACGAAAACTTAGCGCTCGTTCCAAAAAGGCCGCTACTTCACACTTGTTACGCAATGTACTAATTTCATACGATAAAATAAAGTACTCAGATCTAATAAATATTTACTTGGTTCAAATAAATATTTATTGGATAATAGACAATTAAACCATTTAATTGAGTAAATTAATTTTTATTTGAATCAATTAAATTTTTTTTTGCAGTGTAGTATAGTACCTACTTCTATAGTATAGAAGCAGACGCGTAATTTTTTAAATTAGTACTGCGATAGCTTCAATTTTAACAATAACAATTTGTTTAAACAATTGGTAAAATTATTATTCTTAGTTTGTTGTTAGTAACTGGTTACATTCGGCTTAAAAAATTGCAAAACTCAGAAAAAATCGCAACTCTGTAGCTCAATTAGATAAAAACTTGTAAATAAACAATAATAATTTGTTTAAACAAATTAAAAATCACATGGAATAAGGTTTAAAAATCAATATTTCTATTAAAAAATCTATGAAAAAACTTTGATAAAAATAGTAAAAAAAAATTTTTTAACGATTTTTTCGTAATTTTGAAATTTATGAGGGTTTTTTGGGGCACTTTAAAAAATAGTTAAAATATTTAGAGCGCTTTGCGCGATCTCTAAATATTTTTTGATTTTAAAAAAAATTGGGGTACTTTTTTCCATATAGAACAATCCTAGGGGGTGAGAGTATTAAAATTTCGATTTTACTTTTTTGGATTACCCTAATAAATATATCCTATGATAGCATAAGAATATACTACGATAGCATAAAAATATTCTACGATAGCATAAAAATATCATAGGATAGCATAAAAATACCCCAGGAATATCAAAACAGCCAAAAGAAAAAAGATGCCCCATGAATATCCTGCACATCCCGCACTGTTAAGGGGAGTTTAATTTCTGCTTTACCCAAATTTCACTACGAACACAATTCTGTAGGTGCCAGCACCCTCCAATGCAAAAGGTCATACAAACCTATTGATTAAAGTAGGTGGAAGCATAGTCGGCGGGAGAATCAATATTATCGCCGGCCCTCGTCATTTTAGTGTAAAACATTTTCTCCGGCTAAACGCAAAACATTTTTAACATTTACTTTCTTTTTCTCAAGAAAAAAATTAGTGCAAATTATCAAGAGTTCCTACACAATTATCAGAAGAAACTTTTCACAGTGTATTATAATACAAAGAAGATTGTAATATGATTAAAATCCACTACAAGAAAGAAGAATACGTTAAATGTTATAATCGTCAGTGTGAACTCATTTTTATAATCGAAATAATTTCTCGTGTGTCTTAAAATTGAAAAGAGCAAGAAAATTCTAGTACCGTCATAAAAAAATAAAAATTTCCATCATTACAGTGATATCAGTTCTGATAAAATAATTACGCCTTAAAAATATTCTCGACAAGTCAGCTGTTCAAAATTAACAAAGACAAATTTGTCCTAAACATTAGAAGAATCATTATTTTCTCCTTCATTATCGTTTTTGTGATACTTTCTTCATTTTAATGAATTTATTTTGTCGGGAAAATAAAAAATAGAAAGAAGAAAAAGAAGAATAGGTGAAAGGACTGAAAAGAGTGCCATTGCTCTAGTCACGATCGATAAGAGAATAAAAAAGAAGAATAAATATACAGAGATAAAGTTTGAAACGACGAAGGAATCTTGGAAAATCGATTTAGCCTTTTTTTTCACGGAGAGTGATACTGAGTGATTATTCTATATGCGTCAAGAAGCTCAAGGTAGTTTAAAGAGTTTGCCTCCGGGCGAACATCGAAACGGTTCAATCATGATTGAACAGGATATGGCCGGTGCACAGGACACAATATATTTGTGTAATTTTCGAGTATCAGTCGATGGTGAATGGCTCTGTTTAAAAGAACTTCAGGATGTTGAATTTTCAATGCAGGATTCAATGCAACGTTCGCCATCGCCACCCCTTGTACACAGTGGTATACATCGTCATCATCCTGATACATCAGAGCTTTGCGATATTTCTCCGCCAAGTCCACCGCAAATGCAACACGTCTCAAGCTTGTGTTTGTATCATATTGCACAATGATCCTCAATCACTTTTTTTCTTCATTACGCACATTCTCTCTCATAATATACTTTATTTCTTTTTGACATTATTATATCAAAATTTATTCACGAAATTTTATTCTTTCTTCAGAATAAATTTTGCAATTCTTTACAATTTTTACAATTCTACAATATTCAAACAAATTTTTAAATATTGGTTTTTTAAATTTTGTAAATTTTTATTTTTGAATCATTAAAATTAAGGTTTTTTAATCAACAAAACTATTAAAAATAAATTCTTAATTTTCTTACACTGCACTCTAAATATGAATTAGTGAAAATATTCAGTGGCCCAATTTTCTTTGACGAATCAGTGGAATTTCACTGACAATCAGTGGTTTTTACTGATTCCTAGTGAAATTCCACTGATGAAATAATGAAAACTGGACCACTGAATTGAAATCAGTGAAATTTTTACTGATTCAGATTTAGAGTGTGAAAAAATTATATTCTAAATTTAAGAAAATCTACTTAAAAAGGCGTCAAGATTATTATAATTATTGTAAGAATATTTCCCACTTAATCTATGTGGGGAATATTCTTGACGCCTATTTAAGTAGATTTTTAAAAATTTAGAATATAATTTTTTCATTGTAAGATTAAGAAACTTCAGATGAACTCAATGTCAATTGAGAGTATTTTTTCCAACGCACTGGATCGATTTATGCTCATGAACTCATTTTTAAATCTAATTGGCATAAACCTTGGCAAACAAAGCAGCAATACTGTTTTTCAATAGAATTCTATGGAATCGTTTTTTTATAAACTTCTTGCATTTCTGAGTATATGTTTTTCTGTCTATTTCCCCTTTATTAACAGCATGTGACTAATGGAAATTCAAGGGTAATTTTTTCAAATTGAGTTGAAATTTTCTAAGAAAGGCTAAAATATAATAAAGAAGGGCAGTGATGTGCAAAAGTTTTAATAATTTAAAAGTAAATTATATTAAAATACTTTGAAATCGGTAAAGAAGAGAAAAGAAGTGACCGTGACAACTGATAATTTTAAAGTGATTTGTAATAATTAATTTTCAAAATATTAAAACTTTTGCACATCACTGCCGTTCCTTATTGTATTTTAGACTTTCGAACAAAATTGCAGCTTTATTTCAATTTATTAAATATTTAAAGAGAAAAGTGGTCATTGAGAACCTAACAATCACATGCTGTTAAATGAAAAGAATCAATAATAGAAAAGTTGGGAATTTTAAAAAGCAAAAATGGATGTGCTGTTAAGTGGGGATCAGCTTTTTTTCTTATCATAAAAATTATTTAATCATCTCTCACCATTTCGGTTTTATTTCAATTTTTATTTGCAGCTTTAATGCGCAATTTATATAACTCTATTTTTTGCACGATGCATTCTTGTATTTATTATTTTCTTATACAAATATTTATATAAGTGTCAATGTACTGCTTATCAGAAACGTGTCAATGAAAGTCACCGTGATTTTATATATATATAGAAAGTTCGTAACGACACACATTTCCAAATGTTTATATCTTGATTGGAATTTACATTTTTCTCGCTTCATTAAATGTCAAGAAACAAACAAGATGATTCATTGTGAAATTAGACGAAATTCTCGTGTTCTTTTTTCAGCACGAGATCCGGTGATAATCGAGAGGAGCAACCTTGTTAATATCTCGAAACTTATCGTTAAGGAGCTTATTGAAACATCCTTAAAATATGGTAGAATGCTCGATTCGGATCACATGCCATTGCAGCATTTCTTCATTGTATTAGAACATGTACTCAGGCATGGTCTCCGACCAAAAAAGGTAAATGAAATTTTGAAGAAAAGAAAATAGTACTTTTCTCTTTTTATACTCAAATGAAAATTTCAGGGTCTTCTTGGTCCAAAGAAGGAACTTTGGGACATTCTTCAACTTGTCGAAAAATTTTCTCCCGAAGCACAAGACATGACATCTAGTATACGCGATCTTCCCACAGTCAGGTATTGATTAAAGAATTTTGTTTTAAATTTCAATTTGTTTTACAACCAGTGAGAATTCCAAAAAAGAATTTAAAATTAAATTTATTATTTTTTGGAGGCATATATGGAAAGAGAAAATTAATTTTCAGAACGGCATTAGGGAGATCTCGTGCATGGCTACGTATGGCACTGATGCAAAAGAAATTGGCGGATTACTTGAAAGTATTGATTGATCATAAAGACGACATTCTTTCTGAGTATTTTGAGCCGGACGCATTGATGATGAGCGAGGAGGCAATTGTCATAATGGGTTTGCTGGTTGGACTCAATGTTATTGACTGCAACTTCTGCGTGAAGGTCAGACTTTAGGCTATGTATATGTATATAAACTTAAAAGTCTTGGCATGATATATGATATATCTTTAAATTGGATTTTATTTAATCAATAATGATTACAAAATTAGGAGGAAGACCTCGACTGTCAGCAAGGCGTTATCGACTTCTCACTATACTTACGAAATAGCAATCACATTCCCGGAGAATCGCCGGACGAGGAACTGGAGAATGACAACATGACAACGGTCCTTGACCAGAAGAACTATATCGAAGAACTCAATCGACACCTAAAGTAATTACTACTAATTACATCTAATTATTCACACTCCTTTCGTTATACGATTCATATTGACAATCGTAGACAAACCCAATTTAGTTTTCCTTAAACCTTAAGATCCTCTTTAATCCTCTGTTCTTTAAATCTACTCATTCCGTAAGATTTTCTGATTTTAAGCCAATTTTGTAAAAAATTTTAGCGCAACCGTTACAAATCTACAAGCAAAAGTTGAATCCCTAACGACGACAAATGCTCTCATGAAGGAGGATCTCTCAATAGCAAAGAATAGTTACCTCGCTCTTCAGTATGAGAATCAACAATTGAAGAAAGAACTCGGAATTGAGATCAAAGATTCTAACGAGGTACAGAAACAAAATCTTCAAACCGTTTCCACTCTTTTTATATATATATATATATATATACCATTATACACTTTACGAATTTTATTCCACAAATTACTTTACACAAATTCAGAACAAATTCAGAACAGCTTTCATACTTTGTGGAATAATAATATTGAATATGGATTTTAGAATGGAAAACCACCTTTGAAAATCACAGAGACGACAAATGAATTGGAAGAAACAAGAAGTAGGTTAGAGTCAGAAAAGAAACACCGACAGGAATTAGAGAAGGAACTTAATCTTCAGGTTGGAAATAGTTTTTTTCGAAAATCTTGAATCTTTGAAAACTTTAAATTATTGTCAAAAATTAAAATAAATTTTCTCGTGCAGATTAGCATTAAATCGGAAATGGAGGTTGCTATGAAACTATTGGAAAAGGACATTCATGACAAACAGGACACGATTGTATCATTAAGAAGACAACTAGACGATATCAAGCAGATTAATTTGGAGATGTATAAAAAATTACAGGTGAAATAATGCACATTAAGAAACAGATAATTATGACAATATGCTAATGAGATGACTCAATGGTTTTATTGAAGGTAATTTAAGAGTTTGACATTATACTCTTTAACCTTTTCTCTAGTAACACAAACTCAAGTGTCATCAAATCATTCTATGTACATTGTCATAGTCATCCATTTAAATATCTATTCTACCCAATATGTAATTAGAAATTAATTTATTGCACATAATTTGAATTTTAATAATTCTTTTCCAAACCTTGCAGGTAAGCTTTTCTTTTATCTTTATTTTTCTCCTCTTCAGTTACCAATTTTTCAGTTACAGCAAAAATTTCTTAATTGAAATACGAAATTCACAAATTGACAAATCTTTTTTTTCTTTTACAAATCTTCAATTTTAGGAGTGTGAGTACGAGTTGACGCAAAAAGGCGAGATGGTGAGTCGTCTACACGCGAAGACAAATCAAATTGGAAAGCTTTTGAACAATCTCGATAAATACAATCGTTTAATGAAGGACAGTGAGAGTATGCGAAGTCCAACAACACCAAATGATTCGAAATCATTTTTTAATAAATCAAGTCCCACATTACCGAAAGAATCATCTTTTGATAAATTTCCTGAACGAAGATCGAATGCAAATCGAAAAAGTCTTTATGATGAACCTAATTCTGCTAAGAAATCAAATGAAGAAGTCGCTGATGGTAGTGCGAGTAAATCATAAAGAGACATTTTTTTCTAGATCTCATCTCATAAGAAAAAAATTTACCAAAGAGAAGAATGCGAATTTTTTTTTCAATCTCAAACATCAAAATTTTAATAAAATACAAATACAATATCTTACTTAAGCTTTCTATTTGGAATTTGATTTGAAATTAAAAACTTATTTACAAAACCATAAAGATATTTTTCATCTCTAAACAAGACGAAACGAATGAATATTGTCAATTGTTTTGAGTCTATGTGATATGTTGTATAAAGAATTTTACGATATTATTAAGAATTGTATTTATTAATGTAAATATATTTAATATAAATGCTTTTCAATGCAATTTTTAGCTTATTTGTCATGAAACTTGTTGTACACTCTTGTTTCGATAAATTGACAAAATTCTATATTGCTAACATCAGCCATTTCTTTATTTGAATTTTTGTGAAAAGAAAAATTATATATTGTTAAAATCTACGCCTTCAAAGATATTTTGGGCATTAGATATATATTATTATATAAGAAGAAATAATTTATAAACAAAAAAATGTTTTTATTGCAATGTCGTGTAATGTATGACTAAAAAAATTACAGATATATATAGCACTGCATTATCCTGTTTTTAATTAGTTTAATTTTGTGTGAATTGTTAGAAAATTTTTTCGTTTTTTTTTTTTTTTGATATTCCTTTGTCGCCCAGTGCAGAGCCTGATGTAATTAATTGGACAAAAGAGTCTAATTAATTGTGCAATGTTGCCTATAATGTAATTGCATTTTATCATAAAAGCACAACATCACAATATGTCTGATTAATCATTGTGGACGTATATATGTATATACATATATGTACAAAGTGTGATATTACGGAATTCTGATATTTTTTTAATTTTTACTTAGTGTATTGTTGCTTTCAGGAGTGCGAGAGCTCACTTAAGCATAAAACAGAACTGATAGCCAAACTGGAGGCAAAAACGTATTCAATGAATGATACTATTCAAAGAATGGATCAAAAGTACGTTTATTAATATTTAACATTGTATTATTTCTAGAAACTCACTTTAAAGCAGAGAATTAAGAAATTTCAAATAAATAACATACAATTCTCAACTTGGCGAATATGAAAAATCGAAAAATAAATAAGAAAAAATGAATTAGAAAATACTTTCATCTAAATTGAATAATCGTCTTTTTTAAAAGATGTCTTAAATTAATTTTTGACAATTCTAGACTCTAATTAGAATAATTTGTTCACCAATATTGGCAAATAATGTAAAACTTATATTTAAAAAAAAAACTATTTCTAATTTTTAAATTAGAAATTACTTGCAGATTTTTCTTTCTTTTCGCTTAGAAATTAAAACATTTTTGGGAAATAATTAATGTAATCGATAAATAATCAGTAGAAGGTGCCATTATTTCTGATAAGAAATAACATAAATTGTTATAAGAAAAATTTACACACGTATATAAGATTCGCTTGTCGATGACAAACTTTGCATAAAATGTTTAAATATATAAACAAGAATTGGCAAAGTGCGTGCAAAAGTGAAATTAGGTGAAAATTGCTTGTATAATGATGTAATTGAATAAATTCACAATACAAAACAAGTCGTATACATGTTTCTTATGAATAAAATTAAATTTACGGCAATTTTTTTTTGTATTCAATTTGATTCTAGATATACTATTTTTAACCATTGTAAATTTTCAAATAATTTTTATTTTATTGCATATTTTTTTTATTCCTTTCTCGATAATATTTTTGTTTGGTAATATTTTATTTTCTTCATTTTTGTCTTCCATCTTTTGGTGATTTATTGGAAATAGAGAATCTTTCAAACTTTAGAGGAAAGTACAAATTTGGTTATTTTATTTACAAATGGTCGATATTCTAAGATTAGTTGGAGATGATGATCTATTAAAACAACAAGCTTTAGCTGCAATAACGATAAACTTTATAATTTCACACATTTATTAGTTTTCGCACCGGGAAATAGTATTATAATTCTTTTGGTTAACTTATTTTGATAAAATTTCTTCCTGAGTCTTCTACTCTTAATTTCCATTTTATGACCGTACTCACCTTTTTTTTCGCATCCTCAATGATAGAAGGTTTTTCTGATAGTTTTTCCCTCAGTCTTTGATCGCCATGTTTACACAATTCTGGATTTCACGAGACTTGAACATCTTTAAGACTTCTTCCTGAATCCTTTGAAGATATTCTACCTTTACTTTTCGCAACTTCAAGCATCTTTAGGTTTTCCTCACTGATAGTTTCGTTGTCTACCTCAGAGGGTTTACAAGCGCTCTTTCCGCTGCTACCATCAGCAGTCAACAAACTAGACTAGTCATCTTTGACTTTACTTTGCAGGAAGTAGGTTAAACAAAATTTGTCAAATTTCAACTAATTAGAAAATTTAACAAGAAAATATGTCATATTAGTATACATTTGACAGTCCTTTTAATATTTATGATGCTTTCAATATCTTTGCAAATTGAAGAATATTTTAATAATACTTTAATGGATTTTCAAAACGAAAATTAACTTTCAGTTACTTTAGAAGTTTAATGTAAACTGACTTTTTTTCGTAGCATAAATTTAAAAAAATATCTTAAACATTTCCATTTAAATTAACTTTTTTGATTACAAATTTCTAATTTAATATTCAATCTTTTTTTTTTTAATTTTTCCTTTGATTTTAATAATTTATTGCAAAAGGTAAGTCCTACTTTAATTACTACATATATTCATCGAAGAAACATCAATTAATTCAAATGTCACAAATTAATAAAGTCAGAGTTTAAATTTAAAAAATTGTTTCCACTCGATTTATAAAATATTTCGATTATTAAAAATTGTCAAAGTTAAATTTAGATAAAAGATTGAAAATTGAAAAGTATTGCATTCAATAAAGTTAAAATTATCCTTCATTTTTATAGAAAATTACCCAAATAAATTTATTGAATAAATAATAATCACAGGTTTCTAATTTGAATCAAACTTAGCGAGAATTAATAATAATCTGATTATAAGTTTGTAAATTTTTAAGTTAGTTTGCATTCTATTTCTATCGGAGTGAAAAAAAAGTCTATAAAAATGGAGAAGTTTAAAATTTTATCAAATATTTGCAACTCTTGAAAAATTTTTTATGTATTTTTTTCTTCTAAATATTTTAAACTTTTCGTAATTTCAAGATAAAAGGTAATTTAATTAATTAACTAAATTTGTTTTAGAAAATATTGTATGTAGAATGAAAAGTAAACTTATACCCGGTGCTATATATATTTATATAGATGTGGATTTGAGTAAATGAGAAACTCTGTAGGAGCTGCAATTTCTCGAATACGGAATTCTACGATTCCCTCCAATGAAGTAAAAGGAGGATTCTATATAAACTCAATAGGATCAATTTGTAGACGAGAAATAAAGAGAAAAAGAAGATAAAGTATCTTAGAATTTTTTGCAAGAAAATGATAAAGGATTATATTCTATATAATGCAATGTTATTTTTTACAAAAAGAATTGAAATTTCCATTTCTTTGATTTTTCATATTCTGCCAAATTACTTTACGATATAAAATTTAATTAATATGAATTTATTTTTATTAAGGTTTATTAATTGAATTTATCAGTGGTTTTACTGACGTAAATTTGTCATATTTAATGCATAATAATAATTAGAGACGCTATTAGTTAAATAATGAGAGGATTGTCAATCCATTAAGATAATTGAATTTAATCAGGTACAAAGAAATAGAAGACTCACGAATAGGATATGAGGAAAAAGCCCGAACTTTAGGTGCGGAAGCAGCAGCAAAAGACGCTCGAGCCAATGGAATTGAGAGAGAATTAAAAGTAGAACGAGAATGGCGAACATCGCTTCAAGAATCTTCAATTTCCAACATTGAAAAAATCTCTCAACTTCATCAAGAAGTTGATCAACTAAAATCTGTCTCAGAGGTAAGTTTCTATTAATTTTTAATGAATCGCGTAGTACAAAAAAAAATTGAAAGCACTTAATCCTCTCACTCTAATGTATATATAAATATATATACAATGCGATATCTTTTTTCTCAATTATCTTGATGAATTTTAATTAAATTTTTTTTCTTCATTTAGAAATATTTATCATTGCAAGAGGAACATTATGCGTTGCGTGAAATCTGCACAGAGCAGGAGAGAACACTTGAAGAATTGGGCGCACAATTGAGTGCAGCCAAGTTGGCAGCGGTTGAATTAAGGGAAGCAGCGAACAATGCTCAGCAGCAGCCACAGCAAGATGGTGCAGCTCCATGGGCAAACGACCGATTGGTCACTCACTGTAAAGGCTGCACCCGAGAGTTTAACATCGCTCGACGTAAGGTAATCAAACTTTTTAATTGCCTTCTTTCTGCAGATCTCTCTTTCTCCCTCTCTATCTTCCCCTTGCTTACCAAATGGTCGTCACTAATTATTCTTCTTCCAAGTTAAAACTCTCATTTATTCCGCAGAAAAGCCGTAAAACTGATGATTACATTTTTTTAATATTCAATATTCTGACAGATTCATTTTTCCAAATGGAATCATATGTTCCGAGATTGACACTTTCTATAATTTTTTTATTAATTCCATTTCTGGTGAAAATTTAATTCTAGGTTGTGGTGTTAAATCAGAAATCCGATTGACAAGCCAAATGTCTTGAATAACCAATATTATTGATAAATATTTTAAACAACGCTATTTCAATTGTTACTCAATGATACGATATTTCGAAAAAATAGAATCTAGGTTTCATGTCGAATTTATTATTTATGTATTTCAATATTATTTCCCGCTTTCCTTTTTGAACTATATGGCTCATTTCATTTAAAAGGTAAAATATAGTCTGCAGGAAAGTTAAAATGTGAATTTTCGATTTTGTATTTGTAATCAAGTTTTCTATATTATTTAACGTTCTAAAAAATCGAAAGGGATAGTGGTTATAACAATAGACGTAAATATTTTTTTTAATGGCAGACAGTTTTTTGACAGAATATGATCACTATTGTCTGGTTTTCGTTCAACTTTATTTTTTTAAATAAATGAACTTTTTTCTTTTTTTGTGTAAATGTTAAGATGCGTTTATATAAATAAATATTAATTCTATTGCGTGGACAACAAACTTTTTTTGTTTTTATACAAAAAATGAGAGAAGATTGGTTACGGTACTTCGGGACAGTAGGGGACATTTGAAAAAAAAACAGTATGTAAAAAAGAACAAATATTATATTAAGAATATCTATACTATATTCATATAAATAACTTCTTATCATATAAAACCAAGTTCCTGTTTTTTATACATTGAATTTAAAAACTCTTACCCACATAATAAGAATAAAGCTATTATACGGGACAGTAGGGGACATTTAATACACGGGGACAGTAGGGGACATTTTGCTCTTTTCTTGATTCACAACATAAAGAAAGCAACGGAAGCTGTCAGATTTCTTAAAGAATTGAAACTTTTTTCTATAATAATTGAGTTATAAGAGATATAAAGTATTTACTTACCATTTTACAGACGGGACAGTAGTGGACCACTATGTTACAACCAATTAGAATGTTAGAGTGTCTTAAGCTTATCTAGCTATACAAGTGTGTTTACATTTTCTCTTACATAATATTTCTTATATACATTTTCCTAATACTAAGTTTTGCGCCTACAGAGCGACTTTAAAATTAGAAGTACTCGCATTTGCCTGGACCACCCGTCTACCCAGGTGTGAATTTGGGTTGGCCGCCAGAGTTTGAAGGTTGGCCCAAGGTTGGCCTAACTTTGGCAAGCGAAGTTTTGGTTGCCAGAATTTGCCCAACTTTGGCAAGTACTAGTGCCCACAGTTGTCCCGACTTTGCAAGCCAACCTTTACGTGCAGAGTTTAACCAACCGTC